ATTTTAATCATTTATTTATCTATTTTTTTACGATTTTTACAATATTTTACACGGTACACTAGCGACATCTATCCTGTAAAAAAAATTTGCGCTCGCGGTCGCTTCGCGACTGCGCGCATTAAACGCGGCCGATGTGTATACGTGGCCGATCTGTAAACGTGGCCGATGTGTAAACGTGGCCAACGTGTAAACATGTCCAATGTGTAAACATGGCCAATGTATAAACGTGCCCCAAGTGCGCACGGGACTGTAGCCTGCGCTCGCCCCAAAATCTCAACGTGACTGAAGTGCATATATGGCTACAGCTTCGACGTGAGCTAAATCTATAGTTGGCTGAAGTGTGGCATGGTCTGAGTTTACTGCTTTTTATTTTTTTCCCACCAGTTTCTATTAAAAAAAAATTGAACACACACAAAAAATTTTAATGCCCGTCACAGAGACACACATGACCATCAACACCACCACCACCAAAAAAACCAAAAAAACGACGATCAAAATCACCACCACCACCAAAACCACCAAAAAAACGATCAAAATCATCAAAATCAACAAAATGACAAACACATGTGGTACCATCAGGACGCTTGGTGAAACGCTTCCAAATACGATCATCGTTCCAACGCTTTTTATCCGCCTCACTCCAATTCTGCCAATCAGAGCGCGAAAAAATTGGTAAAAGTTAGATTCGATTCGATTCGATTCGACTGGACTTGGGTTCAACTCGATTCGATTCGATTCGCTTTTCCAAAATTCCGAATCGATTCGATTCGACTCGACAAAAGGTCTACGCAATTCGATTCGATTCGGATTCGTTTTCAATTTTTAATATTCGATTCGATTCGATTCGATAGAGAAAAAATTTCAATTCGATTCGATTCGATTCGGCTTATATTCTATGAAAAAAGCCACATTATTAATTTTAAATTTCTATAGCTTTTTCGACAATATCGTCTTCCTGTGATGATAGATGATTCTCACTCGTCTCTATAAAAATATAATTTTGATAATCTCCAAATATATCAATAATAATTATTTATTTTTACAAGAAAAAAAATACATATAGTGAAGCATATTTAGATAAATCAAAAAAAATTTAAGAAAATTTATTTTCGATCGAACGAAGAAAAATAATGTCATTGCCTGTTGATGGATCAAGGGTATTTTTTTTGTTTGATTTTTAGAAAAATGATTTCCTGATCGAGGAGAAAGAATAAATGAACTAATACTAGTTTGATCAGATGATTCATTTCGATGACAACAATGACCATATAAATTAGCTGTGCTGGAATCTATATATTTGTATGTATCAAAACATGTTTTGCATGAAACGAAACCGGGTATAACTTCATATGTTTTTACTTTGTCATTCTTTACTTTTGCCGGAAATCGAACGTATTCCAGCAAGATGCCGTTGCTCGCTTCCTTTTATTACAAATTACTTCAAAATTTTCATTATCTTCAAGTAATGCATGTCGAATAGAAGATGTTGAATAAATTCATGTTGTTGAAGATAATGTACGAGTTGGTGTTGCACAAGAAGAAGTAGATCATGAAGTATCGTCAACGTTTAACATAGTTATTTGTGACATTTATCTAAAATTTAATCACTAACATTAGACCGCCGTTTAGCCTGAACGAGAAAAAGAAATGAATGAGATAACACGTTCTTTGTTACGGTTATCTTTTATATCAATTCATATGCACTCGTCCATAACTAAATATAAGAAAAACAAAAGAGGGCGTTGTCAACTGAATGAGTCAGAAAAAATTTGATTCGATTCGACTCGACCAGCACATTGGTCAATTCGATTCGATCCGATTCGCTGTTTTACTGCCTTTATTCGATTCGATTCGACTCGACAAAAAAAAGGAACTATTCGATTCGATTCGATTCGCCTATGATGATGTTCAATTCGTAATCGATTCGATTCGGCTGGGACAAGCCGAATAGGCGAATGATTCGATTCGATTCGATTCGTTTTCGAGCTCTGTAGTGAATAGCGTTGGTCGTCAAAATGTCGAAAGAAAAAATGTCGAAAAGGAAAAATATCGAAAGAAAAGAACGAAAAATTAATGTGAAAGAGGAAAAATATCGAATGATTATACGTCGAAGGGGAACAATGTCGAAAAAGCAAAGAAAAATAAATCGAAGAAGAATTATGCTGAAAGAAAAAAATTGAAAAAAGATGTCTACATAAAATGATGACTATAATGTTTCTAAGTTTATTGTGTTTTTCCTATTATTCTATTGGTGTAGCACTATAACCATTAGTAATAATAATCGATAGTACATGTTAGAGAAGAATTACAATAGTGATAGTGAAAAAAATTATATTCAATAATCGAAAATTTATGTTCATGACTGCAAAATTTTTTCTTCACTTGATGATAATATTTCACAATCTCCAACTGTTTCATATATTCAGTCACAAAAAGGAAAACCGTTACATGTACTAGATAAATGTTTTTTTAAACTGAACAAAACAACAACAACAACAACAACAACTACAAAATATTGGATATGTACATGTATTGAGTGTTCTATGAAAGTCCATACAAATATGAGTGATTAATTGGTAAAAATAATTGGTGAACATTGTCATCCTACTGAACAAGAATTGATACATGTACGTGGATTTCGAGCAAAGGTGAAACAACGAGCAATAGAAGAGACAACACCTATTCCACGAATTTATGACGAAGAGCGTACAAACGCTATGTTATCAAATGCAGTCATAGCTTTATTACCTAGTGAACGTGAAATAAGTAAACAAATATTTTTTATGTTTGATCTGAATTGTAATTTATCGTTCTTTTTTTAAGATAGGGAAGTTAATAAAGCACGTCGTGCTGTAACACCAACGATTCCAACAACACAACTCTTTGATCTGCCTGATTTTTACACTAAAGCATTACGGAATAATGATTTTTTAAAAGCTGATAAATTCATTAATAGACGGCAGAGAATAATTTTATTTGGATCTCATGAACAATTAAAAATGCTTTTTTCTGTTAAAGTAATTCTTATGGACGGTACATTTTCTGCTTGTCCAAAAATATTCGATCAGATTTATACAATACATTGTATTAAATATAAACAATGTCAGTAATTACTT